GACGACAACCGTACACTTGCGGTTTTCCATACATCAAGGCGCGAGGAGAACTCCAAACCTTACCTCTTTATACAGAGGGACAGGGGCATATGGAGAGACCCTCACAAATGCCCTCTAGATATGAAAAGCCAAACGTCACGCCTTTACACCTTGGCGCGAAACCCTAGGGCGACGCAACATGGAAGGGTCACAATCGGTCAGGGACGCAACTCCCGAGGACGACATAACGTTTCAACCACCGATACACCCCCCTATACAAGCCAAACCTTTTCGTATGTACTAAATCCCTTCATCTGATATCCTTGGGCTGGGGGGGGCAGTGTACATGGGGGCATATGCCCGCACCCGCTCGGTCATTGCCAAGGACAAAAACCCCTTTGGCCTTGGGCTTAAGGGGTACGCGCTTAGCTCTATTCGGCCGTTAACAAAATCGAAGACCCCGTCAACCATAACATTGGCCGAACAATAGCCAAATGCTTCCACCTTGGATAATACCCAAACCGAACACCCCCTTAGTGAGGGAAGAGGTCGAACACCCCCTAGGCCAATGAACAGGATGAGTACCCCATTAGGTCGAGTACCCCTTAGGCCGAGTATCCATCAGGGCAATGAACAGGCTGAGTACACCCTCAGGCCGAGTACCCATCAGGCCAATGAACAGGTCGAGTACCCCATAGGCCGGGTACCCCTCAGGCCAATGAATAGACCAGGTACCCCTCAGGCCAATGAATAGGCCAAGTACCCCTCAGGCCAATGAATAGGCCGAACACCCCTTCGGCCAATAAATAGGCCAATCACCCCCTTAGCCAATGGACATGTCGAATACCCCTCTCGGCTGATGAACATACCAAATGGGTACTCGGCTATAACGAATATCCATGAGGTAAATTAAAGCAAGTGTTAATTACATTAAACACATCCACGTCAGCTATAATCAGTATGCAAAACCTTGTGCACCAGCCCAATAATCCAAAAAGCCCACCAGGCCCAAGAACGTCAGTATAAATAGGGTTTTGATGGGACTAATGGGACATGTATGATTATTTAATATAATAGCCTTTATTGCTCTGTACTGAATACTTACTTGAGTGTTGGAGTGCCTTTGCAGGTACCCTCCCCACCACTTGAAGACAGGATTCGGTCATCACTAGGTATTCGAAAGACTAGTTAGCAGGAACGACAGGAGGAGTGTTCCCGGCAGGAACAACATCTCTTGTAAAAATTAATTTATTTTAAAATATAAAAGGTTGTAATCTTGTAACTTATGTGTGTATTAGTCAACCTAAAGGAAGACTAATATTTTATATAATTGCATGTACATTTGTGGTAATAAATGTGTAAAAATTATTTAGTTTTATGTGTGAATATTAAATTAGTCAAAAGAAAGGTTTCTTATTTCACATGTTCTTATTATTAGCATTTTATTACCATGTTAAGGTATCATTGAATAGTTAAAATTTTATCCAAAGATAAAATGTTAATGTATTATCGATATTTTGAAATGGGATGTATTTGTATTTGCATTTAATTTTTATTTATTTTAAGACTTATATGAGTGTATTTTGTTTGTTGTTCTCAAATCAATTATGAATGATCCTACGAATATTACTGCCAATATCAACTTTATTCCTATATATAATGGTTCAAACTTTAATTCTTGGAAAGACAATGTCTTGATAGTTCTTGGAGTAATGGATCTCGACCTTGTCTTATAGATAGACTTACCATATCTCTTAGAGATAAGAGTACCCCTAAAATCAAAAGAGAAATGGAAATGTGGAAGAAGTCAAATCACATATGACCGTGCTAAAATAAATTCTATTTTTTTCAAGTTTGCAAGGGATTGGCAAAGGAACATTTACCTTAACATAAATTCAATTTTCTTATCTTTTTGCGAGAAATTAGCAAGGGAATTTGTCTCTCGCTAATTATTTGCGAGTCTTTAGCTACAAAATCTATATTCCTCGCAAATTCTTCGTGAATTATCTTGGACTTAGAGAGTGATTATTTTGTTATGAATATGTTACTATTAAGTGAGGGAATATTTCTCTCACAAAATTTCCTTGCTAATTAACAACTTTCTTGTAGTGAGTCAAAGTTCCACATCCTTAGAAATATAAAAGGATGGATATAAGTTTATAAAACACATATATGTCTCCATTGGTAAGAAGACTTTTGAGTAATGACTGAAAGCAAAAAAACTTAGCCTCAAAGTAGTTAATATCATACAAATGTGAAGACATGTGTGTAGATACTCCCGATGCACAACAAGTGGTATCAAAGCCGATAGTTCAACTAGTTGACCTGCTCAAACGAATATGATGGAGTTGGCAGGTGGATCCAGACATAAAATGTCATATCGAAAATCTTCCTAACAATGATTTTATGTATGAAGAAGAGTTTTACTTGCAACACGGAGGATTAAGAGACATGCCTAGCTATTGTGTTAAAGATGGAACAACAATGCAAGTATTTAGAGCATGATTGGGCTCTATGAGTCACCATTAAATATACTTGTAGACTAACTTCCATTGCAAGGGTGTTAAACCATATTATTAATGTTGGGATACAATCAAAAGTCTCACCCTTAATTAGAACAAGGGAAGGAATATGGATTTATATACACACAAAGTCTTCATTGGTATGAGATGTTTTAAGAGATGACCAAAAATAAAATCATAAGAGTTTAAGTCTAACGTGGACAATATCATATTAATATGAAAATGTATGTTTGAAAATCCTAATACACATAATGTTTTTGGTTGTGCGTTTTTCAAGAGTAAAAAAGAAGAAAAGATTTGTACCTTGTAAACAAAAATCTCTTCTATCTAGTAATTCAAGTGAGTGTCCATCTTTTATGCATATATTAATTTTATCTTTCAATTTTTTTTAAAAAAAATTCACATTTATTTTATATAAAAGAGAAAACATTTTTCTATCTAATCAAATAAATAGAGTACTTTTTTAAAAAAAAATAAACAGAGAGAACTAAGAACTCTTCTTTCTCTCATTTTTTTCGACTGAAATATGAATTTTGACGCTTATACGTATCACATTATTTCAATTCATTCAAAATAGGTAAAAAATTGTTAATGTAGTTCTCGTAAATGTAAAAGTTTTAGTGTGATGTTTGGGTCCATCAAAGATACGGTATCATCTCATTTTATGGACTGACCACACTTTTTTCTTTTTACCAAACATGTTTTTAGTTAATTAATTAAAATATATGTTTTGATCTCTATATATTATATAAATCACACAAACTAAATCAATTTTCTACATGAATTGAGTTTTTTTTATAACTAAAAAACATACCTTACACTGATCAAACCTAAGTTCTTAATTAGTATCCAATCACTTGGAGGTGGAGGGAATCTAAGGAGGCTATGCCCTCTCTCCCCTAAATTTTAGAAGTCTACATGTGGTTTTGTTGTTAAATAAATTTTTTTCCTCCCCCACATTAATATGAGCAATAAAAAAGAAGTATTAAATTGTTAAATTATTAAAACTCATTTTGCAAAAAAAAAAATATTAGTATTGAGAATCTTTTCCAATAATAGAATAATTCATTTTTTTTTTATTTCATGAACTTGATCTAATTAAAAACTGACAATTAAAAATTAATGTATTCATGGAACGTAAATTTTACTAATTAAGTATTATTTTAATATAAACAAGATCGAACCTGAAAATATGAGATCTTCTATTTCTTAGAACAGACTATACAACTGCTAAATCAAAAGACTAGTTTAGAGTAATTTAATTTCTTGTATACACGTAGAAATGCATATCTTATTTTTATTAATCGATATTTATTTATGTTGGATTGGCCTCCCTTAAATTTGACTTCAAGTTCCGTTCCCGATCCCTTGTATTAACTTTCAATTTTTCTTTTTAATTTAGTTCTTTATTGTTTTAAACTTTTCAAAACCCATTAACTTAGTGTGTATTTATTTTTCCGTTTCATTCAACTGAACGTCAATTCATCTCCCCTCTTGCTTTTATGTTTCTGTCTGAAAATATATAGACATAAATTCTGAAGCTGCAAAAAGAGGAAGGCTGAACCTCTTCCCTGGCTACATGGAAAGATATAAAAATTTGGCTTCACGGGTGCGCTATATATAATTCTAGTTCTTGTATTTGTAGTTTAGACTATATTTTAAAATATGAGTATATTTGTATAAGTTTCTCTGGAAACATTTATTGGGGAGAAAAATAGGAACAAAATTGAAATAAATTTCTTCATAAGTTAAAACTAGCGTATGTATGAGTTAAAAATAAGATTTTAGAGAAGCTAATAAGAGAGAATTTCTACAATTAGCTTATGCATAAGGTAGTTTCAACTTATGGAGTTTACTTGAATTTTCTTTCTTATTTTTTTCATTTAGAAGTGTATATGGAGAAGTTTATCCAAATAGTCCAGTGATGACAATACTTGAGAATCTCCCTTTCTTTTGTGGCTGGATTTCAGGAAGCTACTATTAAGTATCTTGAGTTGGCCAAGAATCATGGTCTAACTCCTGTTCAGCTTGCACTTGGATTTGCGAGAGATCATCCATTCATGACAAGTACAATTATTGGTGCAACCTCTGTGGACCAGCTAAAAGAGGACATTGATGCTTTTACATCAACTGAGAGACCTTTACCGGCAGAAGTCATGACAGATATTGAAACTGTCTTCAAGAGATACAAAGATCCTGCCATTTTTTAATGATTAAAAATAGAGAGTGAATAAAATAATTGAATTTTAATATATACATTAAAACTAGGATTTACAGTAACTGTCTGCATTCCTTACCTGAATTACAGAAATGTTATTAGGATTTACATTTTTGTTAATTAAGTCTCTAGTATTAACTGGTAGTCATTTTTATGGTTTAGATGACATTCTTACCTTTATTTCACCTCACATGTTGAGTGAAGAAAATATTCAATGCAATTGAAAATGAAAGTTGATAAGACTGGACATTAGAACGAGATTTCTATTATAATCAACCAAATTAATGCCCGCCATATTTTCTGAACATATAGATACATGATACTTATCAATGCATTATATTATTCATATAATATTTTTTTAAAATACTTTTTACAGTATTATATTTTTCTCTCCGACTCTTGTCGTCCGACTTTCTTCGTCTTATTCCATACTTCTCTATCATCTCTCTATTGTACAAATTTACCGTATAAATATATTTACTGTGTAATTAAACTAATGAAATATCAAGATTACATTAGGCACAAGTGAACGGCGTGTGTTGTTTATCTAAATTGTTTAGGATTTGAAGCTTAGTTTTGGGTATAAAAAAGACTATATTGAGATATTAATATTCAACTTGTGTACGCATATGGTTATTGATAGAGATTAATTATTGTTTTAAATATTGAATATTTTGTGCATAAACTAAGGTTAAAAAGATACTAATGAAGTTGAGAATTGGATCACTAGGGACTGGAGTGGTTCTCTTGTCGTGCTTATGCATGGGGAGGGCACCCATTGTGGGGTGTTTCGGCCAATAGATTAAATCAACACCAAAATAGTTTTTGTTCAAAAATGAGATCATATTGGAATTATCCGGTCTGGATTTCAGGAAGCTACTATTAAGTATCTTGAGTTGGCCAAGAATCATGGTCTAACTCCTGTTCAGCTTGCACTTGGATTTGCGAGAGATCATCCATTCATGACAAGTACAATTATTGGTGCAACCTCTGTGGACCAGCTAAAAGAGGACAGATAAAATTAATGATAATCGGCTCTCGAAAGATACGAGTGTAAATCTGAACGGCCTCGAAAATCCAATCGTCAATGAGACGAATATTCGAGAGATTAGAAATCGTATCAATCTCAGTCAAGAGGGACCTCTGAGAAATGTCGAGGAAAATTTGGATCATATAGTTGAGAGGGTACTGAACAGGCACGGATTTGAAACGAGGCGAAATGAGCACCCAAACTTTGTATTTGCCTTTCCTGACTATATTACCCAATCCGAGCTACCCAGGGGGATGAAAGTCCCAAAATTCTCAAAATTTTCAGGAGAGTTAGGTGAATCCACCGTAGAACACATAACGGGATATATAGTCGAGCGTGGAGACCTAGTGGGTAATGAATATTTGAAAATGAAATATTTTCCAAGTTCACTAACCAAACATGCTTTTACGTGGTTTACGACTTTGCCACCTAATTCGATTATTACTTGGGCACAATTAGAAAGGAGTTTCCACGAAAACTTTTTTCGAGAGGAAACCAAGGTGAGCATAGTTGATTTGATGAATATAAAGAGGCAACATCATGAGACGTTGGACGAATATTTGAATAGATTTAGACAATTAAAGTCTCGATGTTACACGAATATTCCAGAGCATGAGTTGGTAAAAATTGCAGCCACTGGGTTGGATTTTTCGATTCGAAAGAAACTTGTAAATGAACAATTGAGAGATATGGCTCAACTAGCAGAGAAAGTGAGACGAATTGAACAAATTCGAGCAGAGAAAGAAAGGTTGAGAAAATTTGACAAGTTCGTTCGAAAAGAAAAAGTGGCATATTTAGACAATATGGACTTTAACGATGATAATTTCGAATGTCTAAATGAAGAAATGGAAGTGAACTTAGCTGAATTGCAACCCGGGCCAACCTATCAATGCCAATTATTAAAACCTGGGGAAAATAATATAGAGGCCGGATCGAATAGAAAATATAGTTTCGATATAACGAAAGCTGATAGAATATTCGATATTTTACTGAAAGATAAGCAAATTATACTTCCGGAAAATCACAAAATTCCTCCTTTTGAACAAAGAAAAGGGAAAAAATTTTGTAAGTATCACAACATGTATGGTCATTGGACTAACAATTGTGTACGTTTCAGGGACATGATCGAGAAGGCGATTACTGATGGTCGCTTGGCTTTCGAGGAGAAAGAAATGAAAGTTGATACTGATCCATTCGCTGCACAAGCAGGATATGTGGAACCTCTCCCTATGGGGATCAATGTGCTTGAAATTAATATGGTTGACCTGGTTGTGAACGAAGAGGAAGTTGTCGAACCTATTACGGATGAAAAGCTGGAGGAGCTCTTAGAGGAGTTCGCGAAAGAACAGGAGCCCATTTATCCGAAAGAGGGGGACAGTTTGCTTGATTTCCTTTCGAAGAAGAAAGATGATGATCGGGAAGTTATGCTTTGCCCGAGATGTAGCGCTGTGTTCGATAGATCAGCGGCTAAGGCTTTCGAGGAATCTGAAATTATGAAAAATTATAAAGCTGAGAAGGCTCGAGGAAAGTCGAAAGTGAACACTGGCATAGTGATGCGTCAAGTTCACATGCCACAAGGCAATGCTCCTATGGCTCCCATCGGAAAGATGGAGATGTACAACTCCTCCCGAGTTGGTAATACATACCTGCCAAATGCGCATGTTCCCATTGGGAAGTGGACTTCTCCACAAAGGCCCAATGCTGGAATGGGTCGAGGAAAGCAAATTGTGAACTACTCGAAAAACCCATTTTCTGGAGGACCCTGATTCGGGTCAAACATGCAAGGAGGTTCTGGAAGAGGAATTAAATATCCTTTTAATGGCCTTACCAAGACTCAATGGAGAAGGCAACAAAAAATGAGAAAGGCAACTTTCGAAGGACATAAAGGTAATCAATTTTCGATAGTTCTACTTGTGTCTTAAATAAAAATGGAGGTGCTGACTTGAAAATTGTGAACCTTGATTTAAAAATACAAAATATTTTCTCGATCACATTCCTTAAAGACGCATGACGAAGATTGAACAATTCTTTCTCATTTTCAGGGTCATTATCCTGACATGCAAAATCTTGTAGATGATATCTTACACCTCGAAATGGAGCTAAAAATTGGCGTCGATCAGGAAATCCACAATCCACCAAAAAAATA